CTCGGGCCTGACGCTCCTTTAACCGCTTGACCCTCGGCTCCAGAAGGGGCGAGTATTTCTCCTGCCGCGCCGACCCAAAGGCAACGTCTGGCGTTGTGGGAGCGACTGCGTGAGCAGGCCGGTGCGAACACTTCCACGTGTAAGGACACCACGAGCGAGCTGCCTCTCAAATTGCTAACGATATCTGAAGAAACGCCACGCTTGGGTGGATTTCTTTAAAAGATTGTTTGTACATTTTTCTTTCCAGAACAAAACAACCCCTTTCTGATTTTAACCAGCTCCCTTGCCATGGGCCAAGGGATGCTACGTCGTGGTTTAGAAGACAGGCACAAGTTGATAATAAACGGCTGCTCTGCTTAAGCAGACTGAGTGCACTTTCACTGGCTCCACGCTGCGTTTGTGGCGCTGGCGTTACTTTTCTTGCACGCATTCGCAATACTACAAGAAAGAAGTTATACTGTTCCCCCGTGGCAAGACTTTACAAGAGACTAAGGATAACAAAAGCAAAGTCTTCCAAGGGAAACAGGTTCCTCTTTCCCATTTTCCACCTCGGGAGGAGCTGCTAGATGTATACGATGCTGCACAAAATTCCCTAAAGAAAAGTGCTACAGGTATGAGCGCTCACATCATCGTCCCAAAATGGGGAAAACCGGAAAATTTTTGTTCAAGTCTCCAGTTATGCAACGATTTCGTAACTCTGCCTGTAACATCCTCTCTTGCTGTTCTGTGTTCTGCAGTTATAAAGTCACAGTTTGGGGTTTTTTTAAAGCCAAGTTGAATATTGTAAAAAACAAATACACACACCCCCCCCACCCCAAACCCTTTTCTTCCATGGAGCAGGAAAGAAAAACTTCCCAGTGAATCCTGCCTCACGGCTCCCCTCCAGTTGCTAATGGATTCCACATTCATGCCTGCGACTCCACCTGGCACATCTGAACTAGGCAGAATCAGTCTCGAGTTGTTTTACACACTGATTTAGACTGACAACTCCCTAATTCTTATGAGGTGAGAGTGAGGAGATTATGAGAAGAAATCATTCATCTCACTGCGGCAATACTATGAGATTCAAATTATCTCTTTCATGTGCCCGTCATCAAATGAAAGATTGCATCAAAATGAGCAATAAGAGTATTTTTTCTTCCTCCACTGACACCCATCTGATTATCTCAGAACACATTAATGAAACGAGTCTCCCAGGATACTCTGGCATACTGTTCCCATTATACCAACGGGGGAAAAAAAAGGCAGAAGTGGGTTCAGTGGCTTCCCTACCGTAACATCAAAGCCTGGAATCAAACACAGATCCCGTTCCGTGCTTGAACTACGCTTTCTGAAGAGTGTCAGGAAGCAGTCCCTAACATTTCTATAGCTTTGTTGTGACACAATCCACTTTTCTGCACAGTTATCAAAATCCAATAGGTGCTGTGTCAATTAAAAAAATATACAACCCTGAGAATGACAAGACACGAGATGAATGGCTCTCAAGGGAAAATGCCCTTTTGGAAATATTCCACCAAAGAGAGCACTAAGGACACAGTTAACCTGCTACTTATTTGGCTTCCAAGAATTATCTAGATGAAACGTGCTGTAAATAAAGAAGGAAAAAACTCTTTTTAAAAAACACCTTCTTCTCGTCTCTGTGACTATTCCAAATTTTTTACAATGGCTACGGGATTCGAGGCACCCCTGAAAAACATTTCAAGCAGGCTGTGCCAGCTATTTATTTATGTCACCAACATGAACATTCAACAATTATTAAGGGAAAAAAAAAAAAGACGAGGGAAAGAAAAGATACGAGAAAATGGCATCGCCAGGACTGCTGAGAGACTTGGCTTTTAACTTGTCAAGAAAGTCAAAAACTGCCATGAATGTTTACTGAAAAAACAGGGAGCATTAAAAAAAAAAACCCCACCAAAAAAAAAAAAAAAATCGCTGCGGAATTTCATCTTGTGCTCTGACCTATAAAATTACAGCGGCTGCTCACAGAGGGACAGCCAGTACTGGGGGGCCCCCGCAGGATACGTGCAATTATAGCGAAAGCCAGCGCTCTGTGATGGCCGTGACAACTTACATATGAAAGGTTTGACAGTGCTGTGAATGTGCTTGTGCTGTTTGAGGCCAGACGAGGTGGCAAAGGTTTTGCCGCAGTCCGGGCAGGCGTGGGCCCGCGCGCCGACGTGCTGGGAACGGATGTGCCGCTGGAGGTTGCTGGGGTCGGTAAACACCTGGAAGAGAAAACGCCTTGAGGGAGGGAAACAAAGCAGGAGGGAGAAGAGCGTATAGATGGGGAAAGCTTGACTAGTTTCCCATTTATTTTGTCCCCG